CTCAGACAAAGGACTATTATCAAGGATATATAAAGAACTCAAAACAATCAGTCCCCCCAAATATAAAGACCCGATTCAAAAATGGGCATCAGACATGAACAGATATTTCTCAGACAAAGAAGTAAAAGCAGCAAAAAAATATATGAAAAAATGTTCCACATCACTGGTCATTCAAGAGATGCAGATGAAAACAACACTGAGATTCCACCTCACCCCACAAAGAATGGCTGCTATCAAGAAATCACACAATAACAAATGTTGGCGGGGTTGTGGGGAGAAAGGAACCCTCCTCCATTGTTGGTGGGAGTCCAGACTAGTGAAACCACTATGGAAATCAATATGGAAATAACTCAAAGAGCTTGGACTGGAGGTTCCATTTGACCCAGCCATCCCTCTGCTGGGTATCTTTCCAAGAGAACTAAAAGAATCATATCACAGAGAAGTATGTGCACCCATGTTTATAGTGGCAGAGTTTGTAATAGCTAAATCTTGGAAACAGCCTATTTGCCCATCCGTTGGAAACTGGATAAAGAAGTTGTGATTTTTCTATAAAATGGAATATTACTCAGCCATAAAGAGCGAGAGAATAGATTCATTCATAGGAAAATGGATACATATTGAAGATATATTCCTAAGTGAAATAAATAAATCACACATGTGTAAATACCAAATAGTTTCCTTGGTGTAAATATTCTGCAACAATGCATAAGATGCTAATAAGATTACTGACATTTAGAAATTTGAAGAAAGGAGCTAAAGGTGTAGGGAAGGTGTGATGGGTAGGGGAAGAACAAAAAGGGAAAAGAAAAAAATGTGAGACAATGAAAAGATGAAAATAAAGTGTTTGTAGATGGGGAGGAGAGGAGGGGGTGAAGGGAGGGCAGAGGTAAGGGGAAAAATGAGAATCAAGACTTGCCATGTAGTGGTACATGATCCCAACAATGAATGTAACTGTACTGTATCCCTAAAATGTACCAATAAACTCAATAAAATGTAAAAAAAAAATTAAAAAATTAAAATTATCTCCTAGTAGTCTGGAGATAAAGATCAGTGGCACTGCACCTACCTGGCAAGCACAAGATCCTGAGTTTGATCCGCAATACTGGAAAAAGAAATTATCTCCTATCCTACCTCAAATTTTTCTATATATAAGGTTTTTTGTATTTTTACTACTACTGTGATTACAAGAGTTAAACTGTTATGCATTTACTTGCTCATCTTGGAATGTAAATTTTACAAAGGAAGGCTTTGTCTTCTACATTTGTGTAATTCCATTGCATGTCAATGAGTAAACAGTTGCTTATTTAATGAATAAGTGACATGTATCAATCCCAATGACAATTGTCTAGTTTATTTTGACAAGGTAGTTGGGCAAAAAATCACCTGACAATGTCATCAAGTTTCACTGCATCTGTTTTCATCTTGTTTTTTGTTTGGGTTTTTTTGTGGTACCAGGAATCGAACTCAGGTCCTTGTGCTTGCAAGGCAAGCCACCAAACCGCTGAGCTAAATCCCAAGCCCCTCATCTGTTTTCATCTTAACATCTTAGAATCACTGGCATTTGTTCTACTTTTGTGACACCTGGGCTGTGCTCAATTCAATTTCCTTCACTTGAAATTAATCCAACAATGTAGTGCTTCCACATACCAATCTTCTTTTGTAATAAATTTCCAAGTATTTAAATTATCTTACCCAGGTAGGAAAAGATAAGAAGACATAATCTATTATCTTATGAATGTAGGACTTGAAAGTTGAGTTGGGAAAAGTAACTGCTAGTGACACCAACATTAGTGCTTGCATCACTTATGAAGCTCATGGTAACTCCTTTATCTTCCCTCATCTAATAAAAGTTTTTCTCGTTTTGCCTAATATCATATACTTATTCTAAAATATGCTCTATCACATCATTCTTTGGATTAGAGCAAGTCCGGTGGGTCAGAATCCACAAGGTGAAGCTGAAATTAAGATTTTCAGAGTGGACTACAAAGAGTTTGATTTAGGCAAACTGGAGAAAGACTTGAGAAATTGTCCTTTAAAAACACTTCCCAAATAATTATGAACCAGTGATAGTAATACAGATTGTGTGAGGCGAACATGATAACCACTACACTGTGGAAACCCATTACAGTAATATAGATGGTTACTAATCACCTTAGATCAAAATAAAATTTTGACTCTATTATGATTTGCTGATGAGCACAAATTTACTTTTAAGTGAGTTTTTTTTTAAATGTGTGAATGTTCTATTGTTCTGCTAGGAGAAGGGGATAGATCTTTAGGCCAGGAAAACCAAGTGTCAGAATGGATAGGACTTACAAGAGGTCAAGTGTTAAGTCAGTGACCTCAGGAAAGTGAGTAATTATTAAAGATCAGAGTAGGAAAAGAGTGCAAATAGAGACATCTAGTTTATTTAATTCAAGTTGCCATCTGTCACATTCTAATTTGCAGGCAATTCCTGCTTTAATTGAGATAATTATTGTCCAGTACTTGAAAGAAATTAGCAGATTTGGAGTTTGGGTCACTAAATGCCAATGGATATAGACCTATATTTAACTAGCAGAAGAAATATGGAAAAAAGGAAATGAGGAAAAATATGATCCTTTCATAAATTCTTATTAATCTTGACTAATTTTTGTGCATTTCTGAATTTTTCTCAAGGCTGCCTTCATGTCCTTGTTCCGGAGACTGTAAATCAGTGGGTTTACGAGTGGGGTCACTGAGGAATAGACGAAGGTTACAATCTTCTGTGTCCCCGCTGGATTTCCAGAGTTTGGCCTGATGTACATCATCATGATGGCTCCGTAAAACAGAGACACCACAACTAGGTGGGAACCACAGGTGGAGAAGGCTTTACGTCTGCCAGCTCCTGATGGCACATGAAACACTGCTCTGAGAACCAGTGTGTAGGATGCAAGGATGAAAAAGAAGGTGATGAAAATAATAAATGAGCTCAGCAAAGAACAAGAAAGCTCAATTCCAGGTGCGGGGATGCAGGACAAAGCCAAAAGAGGACCGGGGTCGCAGACAAAGTGGTCAATCGTGTTTGGGCCACAAAAAGGGAGCTGTGTGATAAAGTAGATGGGGACTGGATAACAGAGGAAGGCTGTCACCCAGCAGAGGACAACCAAGTTTATGCAGAGACGATTGTTCATGATGGTAGGGTAGTGGAGAGGCTGGCAGATGGCCAAGTATCGGTCAAAAGCCATAAGGGGGAGTAGGAAAGTCTCAGCAGTGCCCAAGGAGAAGAAGAAGTAAAACTGGAGGAAGCAGGCTGTAAAAGAGATGGCTTTGGACTCAGAAAGGAAGTTTGTCAGCATGTTGGGAATGGTGGAGTTGATGTAACAGATCTCGAGGAATGAGAAGTTGGCCAATAGGAGGTACATAGGGGTATGTAGCCTGTGGTCCACCTTCACCGCACACACGATGGCCCCATTTCCCATCAGGGTCAGGATGTAGGACACAGAGAACAGCAGGAAGAGGAGGATCTGAACATCTCTGGAGCAGGGAAAAGTCAGGAGTATGAACTCAGTCACTCTTTTGGCTTCTGACATATTCATGGCTTCCTAAAATGTAGGGAAGAGAACAATGAAAATGATGTGTGACTTCACATGTGTAGATATCGAAGTTTCTCTGGTGTGATAAACTAAAAGTGTAAATAAGAATCAAAATATATAATTAACATTGTGTAATAGGAGAAAAGGTCTAAAGTCATAGGGGAAGTGGGAGGGTAGGGGAAAAGGTGCAAAGGGAAAAGGAAAAAATAAAAGGAAAAAAGTGGAAACAAAGACTTTGTAAATAGGAGAAGGTGGAAGGTGAAAGGGAGGCCAAGGGAATGGGGAATAAATGAGAACCAAGATACATCATGCAAAGATACAAGATCTCAGGGATGAATGCAACTATTTATATGTAAAATTTACCAATAAAGGGGAAAAAACAAAAAAATTAAACTATGATGCCAATGCCAGATGACACTGGTGAGTGACTGTCCAAGAAAAGAAAAAAGAAAAAGAAAATGATATGTAACCTTATTTCCTAACCCTGAAGGATATTTTCTTTTTCAAATATTCCTGAGTTCCTCATATTCTATTATTCTAATAAGTTAATGATAAGTATACTACTGAAGACTATCAAACTTTGAGAGAGCTTTATGTGATCAGACTCTGAATTGCTGTATCACATCTCATTATTCTTTCAGAATTTTCTCACAAAGACAGGATCTCAGGCAATAAGCTCCTTGGATAAGCTCCAATAACCTGGAGAAGGTCAATGACAGCCCTACCAGATGTGTGCAAAGAGATATGAATTCTATGTATTTGAACCCATAGAATCAAATATAAAAGATCCAACACTAGACACCAACTTTCAGTTTCATGGATCGGTGTAGTCAGATACACAGAAAAGAAGGAAAGATAATGGTAACAGCACAGAGAGAATATTACGCATTTCACTTTTATTCTAGATTAGTGTTAGCGTTATCAGTATTCCTGTCTTAAAATAAGCCAGACAAAAAGTGTCCACGGTGACATCCTACTTTCAGTGTTCGTCAAAGCTTGTTAACTCAGAAAAGCTTCAACTGTCCAGACATCTACATAGTGGAATTCAGCTGGGCTCCATCATGTAACACCAGTTGGAGTATAAAATATCTGTAAACCTTAGGCTATGTGAAGTCTACTTAGAGACAGCCATAACTGAGTAGTGGATTACATTATTTTATTTATGAGCCTGCAGTCTCAGGATTTCTAAAGGTATCTTTCTTCTGATTAAGGCATACAGAAGCTCACCAGTGTTAGCTGCTCCCAAGCAGAGGCCCCTGGGTACTAAGGCCAGAGTGCTAAGTAGGAAAAATGATCCTTCTAGACAAGAATCCCTTTTATTCCTTTACCCTCACTATTGCTTGAATCCTCCTGTAGAACAAGGTCGTAGTTGTTTGGAAAGCAAAGAAAAAGGAGAATATCCATTAAACCTCCATTAATGCACTACATTTGGTTTGGGCCACTAACTTCCACTGTGCAAGAGGCAAATCCAAGTCAACATAATTGCCTAAGATTTTGTTGCTAGTGGTTTGGTCTTAATTTGTTCATTTATTTTCTTGACCCATTCTTTTAATGAGAGACAGTTATCTTTTGGGGATAAATGACCCAAGATTATGGAGTAATAATATTCAAGTAAATAGAAGTGTAAGAGTCCCAGACCCTTTTTATAAAAAGTGTTCTAGCTATGATTGTTTATTAATGCATTAATTACAAAAAGATATTTTTCAAATTACACCATATGATACCTTTAAGGATAATTTTGAGTATTGCATAGAATGGAAGGGATTCAGAAAATTTTACCTCTCACATCAATTCAAATTTCTTTTATAGCCTTTAAGTCCCTCTTTGGCATAGAATAGTTGGGAGTGCAGGATTTTAGCATACTCCAGAAGGAAGACATGAGGAAAGAACACCAAAATCAAGAAATACTTGTTAAGCAATGTGTATGAGAATTCCCATGACTTTACAATCCAAGTGGGTGTGGCCTCACCAATCTGGAGTGCTGGATTATCTTGTTGCTTTCCTGTCCTAGTGTCTGATGATCTGATGTTTGGAAGAACATAATGCTACTCAAATAAAGGAGAGTTGAAGTATTTTCAGCTCTGCTTCACAGTGTGTTTGTCAATCCTTCCAGATTTCATTTCACTAAATTTCTCCTAAAAAGCTGGTTCGCATTGGATCCAAATGCCGATTAATAAAGACAGAAGGAACCTGCTACTGAGTTCCTTTCCTCTCTCATTTTTCTGAGTTTTCCATTCCTCTTACTTGTAAAGATGAATTTTTCCATCCATTTGTGTAATTTGAGCAGTTGTTTTTTTCATCCACATAAAAGAAATCAGAGCTAAAAGACAATTATAAGAGCTGTGTTATACTTGTATTGCTTCTGATCCCATAGCCTCATGAAACTGCAAGATCCAACGTCCAATCTTCTGTTTTGACTGCAGCAAAGGGCAGACAGGATGGTGAGCATGTTATCCTTGGTATCTGATAGCCTCAAAGTGGGTATATGTGGTAAGACTTGGAGAGGGATTGGCATATTTACTATACAGAGACTTATCTGTGTTGCTGTGTTACCTAGAATTTATTCATCTGAAGGATATAGTCTACTGTGGATATCAAAAGTAGAATTTTCTGAGGGAAGATTGTTGATCCCAAATGTTCTCTTCCCATGGGAGCCCACTAATTGGCTCTTGGGACCCAGTTTCTCTCACAGTGATCAATCACCTCCTGCTATTCTTAAAGCACCTATTTTTTTCTTCTATTGGCAGATTACTGCCATGATGGTATGAACACTAAAGCAGCACAGCTGTACTGCAGGCATGTACAAAAAAGGATGATCAACAGAGTGATGAATGGGGGCAGGAGAGGAGGGAAAGAGGCTAAAAAAGGAATTAAGATGTGCTATGTACATGTACCAGCTTTCCATAGGTATGTAAACATTTTGTACTACACACATGTAGTAATAAAATTAAATTTTAAAGCAACACATTTTTGAGCAAAAATTTTTACTTCTCTCATTAACTCTGCTTCTTACTATGACATCAGTAAGTACTGTTACCTGGTCAGCAGAACACTGGAATATATACCATGGAGTTATGTAGTGAAATGTCAAGTTTCTAGAAAGTTGCACCCAATTATGATTTCAGTCATTTCAAACATTTTAATAGATATTCCTAAGAGTTGACATGATTGTTGAAATATTCTTGCTTTGGCTAAGTAAGGTATTGAGCAAAATGATGTTGCAACTTTATATAATCCTTTTGTTTTCAATATGTGTGTGTGGCTTACTTATATGCATATATAAACATGCCTACATCTCTGTATTTAACAGAATTTTCTTCTAATCATAGTTTCTAGTATCTCCACTGAGACTGAATGACTGTTAATAATTTGACTACATAGAATTCAAGGAATAAAAATTTTGCGGGGTTGCTACTTCAATTTGCTGATCCTATAGAATTATTCTTCCCCAATAAAGAACTAAAAGAGTGGGGCCGGGGATTTAGCTCAGCAGTTTGGTGGCCTGCCTTGTAAGCACAAGAACCCGAGTTCAATCCCCAGTACCAAAATAAATAAATAAAAGAGTGAATGAGATATATAATATGTCAACATACAATACTTAATAAATAAGTAGTGAGAGACAACATCAAAAAAATGGAACCAATCAATTAAAAACTCAAATTGAGAATAAAATATGTTGGATATCCCACAACCAATGACAAACGGGATTTCAAAACTTATTTTGTAACTACACAGTGAGACAATATAACTGAGATTTTAAAAATTTAGATCAATATAAAGAACTTTTAATCAATTTGATCTCCCTGTGGTTGTTTCAAAGTTAAATTTTATTTTATAATTTTAGCGTGTGATATAATACATGGCAGAAAATACACTAAATACATGTAAAAAGTATAATGAGCTTAACAAATAATTATAAAGCAAGCATATAAAATCTACCAATAAAGACAAGAAATAGAGCATAGATAGTCTCTTAGTTTCCCTTCTATTTATTTATGGACTGATTTTTATTAGTACATGTTTATAATACAGAATGTTTACAGTCCTTATGTGGAATCGATATGTGTGTATAACACATCTTAACTCCTTTTTCATCTCCTTTCCATCCCTCCCTCTTCATTCCTCCCCCCTCCATCTCTTGATCCCTTTTTCATTTGAGAAAGCTCTATCCTTCTGCTATTACTTGTCTGTTTTTTTACTTCTCATAATTTGATTTGTCATATAAGAATAATCGTGCAATAATTAAACCTGTGTGTCTCACTTATTTCACTTAAGATTATGGTCACAAGGTGCATCATTTTCCTGCAAATGATTCAAGTTCATATTTCTTTACAGCAGACTAGTACTCCATCGTATATACAACATTTTATTTATCCATTCATCTGTTGATGGGATACAGGCTGCTTCTAAGATTTAGCTATTATGGAAGAGCTGCTCTAAACATGGGTATGCATGTGTCACTATAATATGATGTTTTTAACTCTTTGGGGAAGATACCTAGAAGGGGAATAACTGAGTCAAATTGAATTTCTATTTTCAGTTTTTTGAGGAGTCTCCATACTGACTTCCATGGAGGTTGTACTAGTTTACACTTCTAGAAATATAGAAATGCTCCTTTTTCCCTACAGCTTCACCTTAGTTCCCTTTTTTATCATGTTTCACACACACACACACACACACACACACACATTTATTGTAAAAGTCTGCTTGGTCTGTGCCTCAATATTTCTTGTGCTTCTACAAAAGAACATTCGTGAATATTGCACAAAGAACAGAAGCTTATTTTCTTAGAGCTCTGCAACCTGGGAAGTCCAAGATGAGGTGCTGGCACTGGATGAGAATCTCTTACTGCACCATTGCGTGGTGCAAAGAAGAATAACAGAAAGAAAGAGCCCACTTTACAAAACCCTTTGATTAGGGCATTGAGTTCACTCCTGAGGTTGGAACCTCTATAGCCTAATCACCTCTTAAATTCTCCACATTCCAATACTATTGCATTGCCA